CAAAGGATTGTCACCTGGGAGAGAATATGACTCAGGGGAGAACGGCGGGCGGAGGCCGGCGCCGGCAGTGGGAGGGGAGAGTCTTAAAGGGCCCTCGCCGGCGCGCGGCCGCCGCCTCGGCCTTCACCGCTCTCCGTACTCCTCCCTTCTCCCCCCACCCGGACCCCACTGCGCTGTCCTCGCCTCGAGGTCTCTCTGGGGACCGGACTTCTCCGGGACCCTGGGCTGTGCGCACTCTCCTTGGGCTTTCCTGTCTACATCTCCTCTCTCCCTCTCCACCGCTGGGGAGTGGTGTTGGCTGGGGGCTGTCACCCCGTAAGGCGGCATTGGGGTAGGGCAGGAGCGCCTGGAGCCAGCTCCGGCACAGTGGAGTCCGAGTCTCTCCCAAAGGTCGCCTGGGGGCTGGCCAAGCCTCCGGACCCTGGGTCCTTCTCAGGCGCAGCTCTGGCCGCTCTCCTTCCCAATTCGATTTGGCCTTTCCCGGGTGTGTTCACTTGAAGCTTCGGAGGCATCCACTGTTCTCGGGGCGCGATGTGGGTCGCTCAAAGACTGCAAGTTTGAGGACTCCCTTCCGGGGTGAGATAGTCTTGGTGAGGTGCGGTACGCCGGGCTGTGCGCACCTCTCGGACGCGCTGGGAGCGCAGTGTCTTCGCTGATTTATAGGTTCGGTGTTTGGGTGTGTTTCGGGTTTCTTGTTCAGTCCTGTTTGAAGGTGTAAAGTTTCCTCAATGTACCGCACCCTACTGTTGTTTGGGGGGAAACCTGGGGTCATGGGAGAGGCCAGTATCCCAGAGCAGGTGAGGATTTCTCTAAGCATGGCAGAACGACACTGACTCCAGAGATACACCTCTTATTTTTCCCCCAAGCAGGGGAAAATGCACTAGCTTTCCCCAGGAAAATTTAAAAACTTTTTATTAAAAATAACAATACCCTCCTCGATTTCCCGCGCCTTTTGGATAAAATATGCATTGCCAGCTTTTCTCTTGGTAGAGATTTTACGTAGTCATCGTCCTGACGTTAAAGTTCCGTGTCTGCCGCTCATCAGAAGGTGAAGTTGGTCTTCCGGAGTGACCACTTCTCCGTGCTCTAAGCGGCCAGTGGAGGCGCGCTGGTGTCACCATCTCATTTGGATACCACTTTCCCAAGTTCCAGTCCATCACTCTATTGTCAGGCCTGTCACTCCAGGCATATTGCTCTGGGATTACCCATTCCTGACTCTGCGTGCTGACCAACGCCTTGGGACAACAGGAGAACCCGAGACGGGGTAGGAGATTTCAAAAGGGTTCTTCAAACCGAAAGAAATAACTATCATAGAAATAAAAACCATGACCTTTATCCTGTTCAGTACAAGAGATAGCAGGCACCGCTCCTAGGCCATATCATTTACTATATTAAACGTATTTTAATACTGCTTTTTTTTTCTTTTAGAAATTGCACAAATTTAGCTGGGTTCGGTGTCACATACCTTTAATCCCAGCTAATCTAGAGATTGAGGCAGGAGGATGGTAACTTCCAGGCCAGCCTGGGCAATTTAGTGAGACCTTGTCGCAAAAAATAAATAAATAAATAAATAAATAAATAAATAAATAAATAAATAAATAATAAATAAATAAAATAAAAAATAAGTTAAAAAGGGCTGGGAATGTAGCTTGGTGATACAGAATGTAGTTCAATGGTAGACCCCTCTGCTTTTCCATCCCCAGTACTGGTGCAAAAAAAATAAAAAATTGTACAGCTTTTCCTTCCTCAATTTTAATCCTGGTAATATCAAGTTAAAACAAACCACAAGGGATGCCCTGATAGGAGGTATCTCCCATATTGCAGCAAGAGGGACAGGCATGGAAGGGAAGGGAGGTGATTCCCTTATTGCTGTGGACTATCCCTCTTTTACCCTTAGCTCTGCTCACAGCAACCTCTCAACACTACCTTTAAAGCTCCACTGCAGGACTGCTTTCACCTCCAAGGCCATTGGGACACTGATAAAGAGAGAAACAGCAGAAGAAAGCCAATGTAGACGGGCTGGCCTTTGTAGAGACACCTTGGAAAGGAGAAAGAACTGGAAAGAGGGAAGACTTAGGAGGTCATAAAAGACTACTTGATTGTTGTAGCCAGCCCAGCTGAGAACAAGCCAAGAAATCCTTCTAGGACCTTAGCAGATGTGTATTAGAAATGATTAATGGAATATAAATTGGAAGAAAAGGGGAGGGAAGAGAGTAAAGGCATTTAGGAATCTGGATGGGGGCAGGAGGCAGTAGAAAAGAGGAGAAGCTGGGGTTTGTATTCATACCTGTAATCCCAGCCACTCAGGAGGCTGAGGCAGGAGGATCACAAATTTGAAGTCACCCAGGCAATTTAGTGAGACCTAAAAATAAAGTATAAAAAAGCTGGGTGCAGTGGTGCATGCCTATGATTTCGATGACTCCAGAGGCTGAGGTAGGAGGACTGCAAGTTGGAGACCAACTTTAGCAATTTAGTGAGGCTCTAAGGAACTTAGTGAGAACCTGTCTCAGAAGAAAAAATTTTAAAAAGGGCTGGGGATATGACTCAGTGGTTATGCACTCCTGGGTTTAACAACAAAACAACAACAACTAACCAACCAACCAACCAAAAAACATATAAAAAAGGGCTGGGGATGTAGGGATGTAGCTCAGTGACTGAAGGTGGGGCCTAGCATGTGGGAAGACCCTGGGGTCAATTCCTACCCTGGGGTGGGGGATAAAAAAGGAGATAAGAAAGGAGGACAATAAATATTTGCTTTTTTTATTTGGAGAGGAAAAGAGAAGGGAAAAAGAAGTGGTGAATGAAAAGAAGAAAAGAAGTGAACAGAGGTTGGCCAGGCTGGGGGGTAGGGATGGGGAATCTGTGTAGGTAATAATTCATCATTTTTGTCTTTTGGTACTAGAGATTGAGCCCAGGGTGCTTTACCACTAAACTATATCCCAATCCTTTTTATTTTATTTTAATTTTTAATTTTGAGACAGGTTGTCTCTAAGTTGCTGAGATTGGCCTCAGCACCTTGCAGTCCTGTCTCAGCCTCCTTACTTCTGGGATTATAGGTGTGTGCCACTGCACCTGGCAATTCATTGTCCTTTTAGAAAAATCTCACTCCCTAAGCTCACAGCAATAGTCACTATTAGGGACAGTGGTGCCAAACAGCATGCAGTATAGGCCAGGCCTATTTCTCTCTCCTGTAAAGTGAGTGGGACACACTCTGGGAACACACAGGAGTACAGAAATACTTTGGGGGTGCTGGTGAGGGCAGCATAGTCTCTCTGGCTAGATGCATCCCATCACCTTAAGAGAGAAAAAATGAAAAACCATATTTAGCCAGGCCAGAGGCCTAATTAAAACACTACTGAATGATTATTACAATCACTATTTGACATTCACTTAGCTGGATCACTAACCTATACAGAGCTCTAAATGGGGCCCTAGTGGCCTGAAAGGAAGTTCACTTTTCAAAGGATTGTCACCTGGGAGAGAATATGACTCAGTATTCAGTTGGGCCATGTTTATTGATGGCCAGCTGTGGGCACAGCGTTGTGCTAGGGTGTTGTTGAAAAGCTTATGTAAGTCCTTGCTGTACATGGCATATGGCAGAGGTCCTTCCCTTGCAAAAAAGTGGCAGATGTATGATTAAGGGGACTTCCTATATGCGAACCTTTCCCAGATTGCCCTGGTAATGAGTAGCCACTATTAAAACAGGACAGGAATAAGGGCTGCTTGAAAATGTCCCCATGACATTGTTGAAAAGAATTACAATTCTGTATTTCAGGTGCTTAATAAACAGCAAGTTCTCTTCTCATCCTCAAGCAAGCTGAAGAAATGAGGAATAGAAAGGAGAGTCACCTAAAGTCACAGGACACTAAGAGGTAGAGTGGTTACCTGGAGTTGGGTCTCTGGGAGCCAGACTTCTGAACCACACTGCAGTGATGACCCTGGGCAGGTTAACCTTCTCAAAAAAACAAAATTCCTAAGCTTCGGTTTCCTACTGTAACATGTGGGAATGGCCAACCCATCATTAAGAGGCCGCAAGCGGACAATACATATCACCTGCTGAGTGAGTGCTAAGGACAAAAAGTCCCAGGTAATGGCTGTGATGTGTTGCATCATCTGCATCTATGGGACAATTGCTCTGGGGAGCAGACACGTCTTCAGCCCAATCCAGAAAAACTAAGTCCTGGGGAACCAACTGGAAGAGCCCAGGCTGTCTGGGAATTCTAAGGAAGTGAGAATAACCCCTCCCTCTCAGCCTCCAGTTCCATGTTTCTTTAAAAAAATAAAAATGCCCTCCCACCCCTGCAGCCATTAGGAAAATCTTTTAGGAAATTGTGGAATATTTATAGATTTGTTTTCATGACTTCAATTTACATAAAATTCACCGCCCAGGAGAAAAAGGCCTGAGTCAGGTTGGGAGGAGAGGTGATAGATTTGTTGTGTGGGGTTAATGTTTAGTTTTCACTCCTGGCTGAGGTGAAATTACCTGAATGATCACCTCTCTGCATAACACTCAGACCCTAATGGCAACATCACAAAATAATATCTCACTGGGTAACTATTTACTTTTTTTTTTTTTTTTAAAAAAAAAAAACACTATAAGAACTCTGAAAAGTCTGTCTCACAGAGAACTTGGTTTTCCTCCCTAGGCTTAATATCTTTCAGCAGACCAGCAATTACCGCCTTGGCCAGGAGCCCTGATTTAGCATTCCCCACTCAGAGCACCCAGAGGTACTTCCTCAGGCTGCCTGGTTCCTGGGCTTCAGATACAGCCTGGGGCATGAGAGGTTCACCAAGGACCTGTGGGAGCAAACAGAAGAAAGCCAGGCCAGCCAGCCTTGCAGGAAGCCTGCTCCGCAAATGACTCAAGGGGCTCCCTCTTCTGCGTTCTCAGGGCTCCTGTCATGTTCTGCTATTACACTTATCCCAGGGCAACTGCCTGTATTTGTTTACTTGTCTGATCTCCTGCTGGATGCTTCCTTGTTTCCTCATCCTCTCTGAGTTCTTATTGCCCGAGTGTTTAACCATCACTGCAGAAGCCAGCACGGAGCCACAGCACCCTTCTAAACACTTTGTAGGCATTCTCTCATTCCATCCCTACAGAAACCCCAAGAGGTAGGTCTAACCATCACCCCATTTTAGGGAGGTGGAAATAGAAGCACAGAGGGGTTTTGCAACTTGCTCTAGGTTCAAGCTGTTTTGCTTCGAGATGGGGCTGGGGTGTGAATTCAGGCAGCTTCAGTGCAATAAGTGTCCAAGGAATGTTTGTTAATGAATGAATATTACATTTACCCAAAAGGGCTATTTACTTATATCTCATTTTGTCTCATTCCAAAAAATGCAAGGTGGGTGACTGCTTTTAAAAATGTTGCCTGTATAACTACACAAAAGTATCTTTTCCCAAATGTACTTTGTGTCCCTCATCTCACAGTGTTTGGAGTTACTTTGGGCAGGTTTTATTATTCCTGCTTGACAGATGAAGAAACAGGCACTAAGAGCTTAGGGGACTGTCACAGGACAAACAGCCAGCTAAGTGAAGAAAGGACCAGGGCTTCTGAACTCCCTTCCTGGTTGTGGCTCTATTAACTTCTGTCACTGCCCAATGCCACGTGGATGGGGAAGTAGAAGGAGGGGGAATTCACTCTTTTTCATCCCCCTAGAATTTCCTTTAAAGATGTGGTGGGAAGGAAGGACAAAAGGAAAGTAGACTGAAGCTTATCTTCAAGCCTGTCCTTTTGATTTGGGTCCTTGAGCAGTGTGCTTTGAAGAGTGGTTTCATTTATCTCCTATCAGTTCCTGGGGAGACAGGCAGGCCTGGGTGAGGGGAATGCAGTAGGTGGGCTTTTGAAGTTCTCCTCGATTTGCCTGCCCTGCCCTGATACAGTCCTAGCCCTGGGCATTCACCCTTGATTACTTGTTCTCTTGGGCCTTCAAGTTTCCCAGAGATTCCTTTTATAAGTTGCAAATATTGCTGGGGGGCATCTCAACCTTGTTGCCAGCCCACACTTCAGTGGTAGTTAACAGTGAGTGTTCCACCCATGATAATGATGATACTTATTGAGCACTTACTGTATGCTAGACACCTTGTAAGCACAGGGCCTGTTATAACTCATGGAGTTCTCACAGCAAACCAACCAAGTGGGTACCACTGATGTGCCTATTTCATAGATGAGGCATTCAGGCCCAGGGAGTTTGAACAACTTGCCAAATTACACAGCTAAAAAAATGGTAGAGCTTGGATTCCAACCCAGGTAGTTAGCTCCTGAACTACTCTACAGAGACAGAGTCTTATTAAGTTGCTTGGGACCTTTCTAAGTTGCTGCGGCTGGCCTCAAACTACTTGCAATCTTCCTGCCTCAGCCTCTGAAGTCCCTGAGTTTAATGGCGTGCGCGGCTGTGCGGCTTCCAAACTCATTTCAACATTCCAAAAAATGGGAGAGCTGTTCTGGTAGTGGCTTGATTATTTCAAGTTGTATTTTACAAAAGCAAATTCCAAGATGTCAGAGACATTCAAGAAGTGTTTATTCTGGTGGCCTCTGCCAGTCTCTACATGGAGTAGTACCCGAGGAGCAGGGTCCAGACCAGACAATGGCCAGAAGTAGAAGGGCCATTCAGAGTGGGAATTTACATAATACACTCCCTTTAAAAGTGATTGAAATGGCTTTTTATCTAGTTGCAAAATGCATTTATTTATTTATGATGAAGCAGATTCCCATGGCACCAAATTCCAAAGCTATGAGAAATATAAAGTGAAAGAAACTCCTTCCAGCCATCTAGTCTCCCTTCCCAGTACACTAAGGCAATGAGTTTATTGTCTATCCTTCCAGAGACATTTTGTTTATATATTAGCAAATACATATATATTATTTCCCTCTTTTATGTACAAATGGGACATACTATACAAACTCTGCTGTATTTGCTTTTAAAAAATAATATATTTTAGAGATTGCATAATGGGCTTTTGTGCCTTATTTATTTATTCA